TACTACTTTTTATATTAGTTAAATTATATAATTTATTTATTATTGAATTAATTGTAATATTGTTCAATAACACAAATAGCAAGAATACTTAAAGTGCTAATAGATTTAATATTTTTTGAAATTATCATATATATATTATTATTATTAGCTTTATTATATGTTATATTATATATATATTTTTAATTATATACTTATATATATTTATCTTTAAGTATATATACTTATATCTAAAAGATTTGATTATCTGCAATTTTTGCCAATAAAATTTTGATTTAAGATAACAACTTTTTTTAGCCAATAAATTTACTTAAAAGATCAGCAACCAATTAGATAGATTTCTGATTATGCTATTTAATAACCAAACACGTAAAGTATTTGATTATCTGCAATTTTGGCCAATAAAATTATGATTTACAGGTAACAACTTTTTTGAGCCAATTAAAGATCAACAACCAATTAGTGATTTGCTATTTAATAAGTAAACGTGTAAAAAATTTAGTTTTTTTTTAAAACCGAAATATTTGTTTATTTGCTTTTCCTGAATTAAACTTTAGATTATTGCTACTATGACTACTTCTTTTACTTCTTCAAACACTACTACTCAAGTTGATCCATTTACTCAACTTGATGTATTAACACTTCTTGACTTATTAAAAAAGTCTCAAGAACGATATGAGATTGCAGAAAACAAAATTATAGAATTACAAGAAAAATTAGATGAACAAGAAAAATTAAATGAACAAGAAAAATTAAATGAGCAATCATCATTGATTAATAGTAATATTGTACCTTTGGTTTTGCGGCCTACACAAGATAATATAGAAGGATTTTCTATTTCAAAAATTCCACTTGCAAAAGTTTTTAAACTTAATAACAAGGCTATTCGTGAAGCTAAAAGGACTTTTGGCTTACTTTTGGATAATCATAATATACCAAAAAATTATACTATATCTAAAATCGATCCTGTGATGATAAAAAAATGGCTTGCAATTGTAAATATTTATTTATATTAATATATATTATATTTATACTAAATATATATAATATTTTTTGTAGTTACATTCTCAATATAAGGAATATTTTGGAGACAATATGTGGGCATATGAAGAAATTATGAAACAAGTTATGCAAGATCGTGGTAAATATAGGTTTATTTATTATACTTCTAGTAATTATTATATTTTAGCTAATTATTTAAATTTATAGCATATTATTATAAATATACTGGTTTATCAGCTAAAAAGAAAAAAAAACCCATCCAAAATTTTACTACAATCAAAAAAAAAAAAGGGTTAACAAATTCTCAACACAAATTTGATAAGCAAAAAATTAATATAAGCGGTAAAAATAAATTTTAATTCTTATTAATTTTAAACAATAATTTATATAAAATTCTATTTATTAGACAAGGTCAATATGGATACAGATATTGAGGATGATTATAGTGATACTTGAGAAAATTATGAAAATACTAGTCATATTTTAAATAATGGTACTTTTATTTTATAAGTTAAACTAAATTTAAAACATTTATTGTTTTAAGTGATAATATTTATAAAATTTATTTATTAGATGAGGTCAATGTCATTAATACAGATACCGATGATAATAATAGTGATAGTGACAATCAAGGAAATTATGAAGAGATTAGACATATTTTAAATAATGGTACGTTATTTTTTAGTTAACTTTGAATAATACTTATAGTTTCAATTATATATTTTACATAATTAGATACTAGGTTAGATGATATGATTGCAAGTAGTAATAATGAAAACTTATTACCATCATATGATGAATTTTTTATTAAAAAGAACCAAGTAACTAAAAAAATTGGTAAAGTAATTTTTAATTTAAATTTGTAGCATTTTAAATATATTAATATGATTACATATCTGTATATAAAATAGTGCCTATGTCAAATAATTTGATTGCTGATAAAGAAAATCAAATTAAGATTAATAATAATTTCCCTATTTTGAAAGAACGCAAAGCAAATAAAATAGTTGGTGAGTTGATATTTGATATAAATTGTATAATTATACTATTTTGAATTATATTTACACGTATATATTTATTTGTAATTAGCTGCTAAATTAGGAGTCATTGGAAATAAAAATATATCAGAATATAACGATAATGATAGACCAAGCAAGCGCACTAGAAGTCAAAGAAAAAATAGGAAAATTTTTTAAAATTATATGATAATAACAATAGATATACTAGAATCAATAAGAATATGCAAATTTTTAAAATAGTCATATATTATAATAAATAAATATATATATATTTGAATTTGCCTATATGTATATACGTGCAAAATAATGCTCAGGTGTATTGTTTTTAATAATGGCCCAAACCAAGCTTAATTTAGATCAGTTATTTTACGCTTAATTTAGGCCAGAGCTATTTACACTTAATTTAGGCCAGAGTTATTTATGCTTAATTTAGGCCAGAGTTATTTCATGCTTAATTTTGGCCAGAGTTATTTCACAGAGATATGCACGTTAATATATGTGAAGTGCATGTTAATGTATGTGAATGTGCACATTAATGTATGTGAATATGCACGTGGATCTACACAGGACAATACACAGGAAAACATGTAAAAAAACACGATATCACGTGCAGCGTTGCACGGAATTCAGGCCTTTTTACGTGTTGCAAACATATATTCTCATGCATTATCCTGTGTTATAGTCAGTATAGTTCTATATACTTCTGAACTAATATGTTTCCGTGTTATATTGTGATATTACGTGCTATAATTTCTTATAGGGTACAGTAAATTCTTGATATAATAGGTCTTGAATTACAGAATATTATTATCTCAACTGTATATAGTAAAGTATATTTAGTACTCTCTGGATACAAGTTATAGTGAGGAATTTTTTTTCCGCGCTTGGAAAGTCATTTAGCATAAGTGAATTGTAATCGTGTTTTCCTGTATTTATATATATATGAGACTATCTTTATTTTTTGTTGAAACACTGTATGACTAACAAATGAATAAAAAGAGTCAAAGAAAAAAATTGTATAACTTTCTATAGTGAACTGACAGTTTTTATAATAAAATTTTTTTAAAAGGTCCTAATAAAAGTAATTTACTATGTTATAAAAAGGTTCGATATAAGAACAAAATAAGATAATTTTGTCATGTGATCGTGCCTTAGTATCAAAAGTTCTAATCATTACTGTTTCGAATTTTATACAATTTAGTAGGAATAGTCAATGCACCTAGTATCGCCACCAAAATCAGGAATGTAATATGGAGCTTAAATTTATTTGCCGATATTAAAATTGATTATGA